CCCCAAAACCCCAAAACCCCAAAACCCCAAAACCCCAAAACCCCAGATTTTTATAGTTTTATTGAGGAATAAGATTAGATAAAATGGGTAATAACCAATGTCTTGGATCACGAAGAAAAATGTATGCATACAATTCCCTTAGTTTATTTATCAGAAACATGCTGGACTGATATCAACCGCCCTGGAAGTCTGATGGTATTAATTAGTCTAGCTGAATTCTTGTATTAAATTTTAACCTTTATATTAGGGAGAAACAAAATATCGAAGATGCAGATCCATTGAAGAGGAGTAAAGTAAAGTTTGGAAAAACTGTAAGTATTCTAAAATTTATAGTGCTGATCTTTCCTCTTTATAGTCCGGAAATCGCTCTATTATATATTTTAAGCAATATTTTATACAATTTTATGAAATTTCTGAAAACTAATAGCTACTTCGTGCGCGCTTAATTTTTCATTCAGGAAACTGAGATATTTGAAGAGTATAAAAAGAGATTTCACAAAGACTATAACCCTGCAGCTAAGTTGTTCGAAGAGGAAAATCATCTGTAAGTCACTTTTGAATATTTACTGAGCTTGAGGTTTTATTAAAATGTACAGTGAAAAAGAATCCAAAACTCCTCTTACTAAGTTGGGATGTACCCAAATGGGATCTAAGCAAAATAAGAGTTTTAAATGCCTGACCCAAAGAGCTAAAGAGCCCTTTATTTTGAGAAGAGAGCTAGAGGTCGGCCCTCATAAACTGAATTTTGATGACTCAGAAGGAGATACTTATAGAGTCGAAGATCCTATATTTCTTCAGTAATTTGTAGTTATAAGGCTTTAGGTACGGATCTATCGAAGAAACCGAAGATATCAAGTCATTTGGAATCCCAAGTCAGACCTATCATTCAAGAAATATTTCAAGATCATCGTGAAGTGTATCAAAGAGATTCCCAATCTATCATGAAGCTGGAGAGAAGGTAGTCCAAATAGGTTAGAAAGCATGCTATTTTATAGATTCAAAGGACTTAAGTATAACTCCTGAAACAAAGCCTAAAAGGATATTTGAAGAAGAATATGAAGGTAATGCCTTCTTTTTCTTAACTTATCTCTTCTAAGTAGATCAATACTATGATTCCTCGACCATCAGCGAAGATGAGCTTAATATTGAGAGTGATAAATTGATAGGTATCCTAAAAACTCTATATTTTAGAGAAAGTTCAGAACTTCATTGAAAAAACAGACCAATATCAATACACCACTCTAGGCAGTGGATTAGGCCAGGAGGCTGGTCTTGATCATTCCTTTGGACTTCAGGAATCTGAAGGTAAACTTTTCATCTCTTAAATACATTATCACTAATTTTAGTTGGAATAAAACATTTAAAAGGCAACTCCATATGGGATACTTTGAAGTTAAAGAATCTAGAAGGACAAAAGAAGCATATGAGAAACCATAAGAGCCTATATCAAGAAGGAAATACTTTAATGTTTACTCAAGCCAGAAATTAAATAATTAAGGTAAATTTTCGATTAATGCTTCGAAATTACCTGATTCTGAAAATTCAGAAATGCTAAATAACCTGAATTTTTTGAATGTCTAGCATTAGTTCATATTAAACTTCCCCTCAATTTAGCTGACACAAAAGGGGTTTTGGGGTTTTGGGGTTTTGGGG